AGTTTGTTTGATGCTATAAGCCCACAGAGTGCAGAGATCCTACTCCATGCGAACTCTTTCGATGGTTGTCGGACACGCCCCCTATTGAAATAGTTGATTCAGAAATACACTCCAGGGCTTTTGCAAAGATATTTAGCTACACAAATGAAAATTTCATTTTGCCACTCCCAAAATTCACATTTACCAGTGTGTCTGTTAACACCCCATTTTGCCCTTTTGACCTTTTAACCCATCCTTTTGCCCCTTTTGTGAATCTTACTGACGTTTTGTGCGTTTTTCCTTTTTGCATATTGTATCCAATTTGTCATTTAAATTATGCTTTTGCATTTTTATCCACCTTTTGTGGTCTCTTAACCTCATAGAGTATTTTACCCCATTCTGAATATCTTTCCCTCCTTAAATATACCCTTGTCATTACAATTTGGAGTTTAGTAATTAGACTGAATGTTGTAAAATGTAAGCTTCTCACAAAACAGTGATTGAACGCTCATCCTGTATAAATCACTAAATCCTGTTTTAAAGGAACACTCCGGTCACCATAACAACTTCATCTAAAGGAAGTTGTTATGGTTTTTAGTAGGCCCCTGGTTGCACTCTTACCTTAAGGGGTTAAACTGTTCTTGAATTGTTCTTGAATTGTTTTAACCCAAACGTTTGCCTCCAGTATAAGCTGACCCTGTGGGTAAACTGCAGATAAAGGTGATGAAGGCAGATGTTACGGTTAAACCATTTGAGAACGATTTAACCCCTTAAGGTAAGAGTGCACCTGAGGGCCTCCTGGCCCCAAAGCAACTTCATTTAGATATAGTTACTGCTCCCAAAGTGTCCCTTTAATACCAATTCTGGGATGACATTGACAGCTTTATATCTTCTTTTGAATAGACAAAAATGTGGAGTTTTTTCTTTGCTTAATCATAATGTTTTATAGTTATATTATTTACAAACATCTGAAGAAAATTCCAAGAAAATTCCAAGAAAATCAAAAATAAATTGAAAAAAATAAAGCCCATAGGCTGTTTTCAACACTAGCGAGGTTATTCACTAAATGATGAGAATTTACAAATCTCATATTTACTAAAGCCAAATGCAGTTGGGATTTCATCGGCCAAGTAAATCTGCAGCAATCACCTGATGCATTTGATGTCCAGATTAAAATCAATGCTATAGCATTCAAATTCAAAGTACTAAATCTGGCACCGAATGCATCTGGCAGCTAGCAGCCAGTAGGCAAATAGAGAAAAAAACAACTAAATAGTTAAAGAAAGCCAACCTTTGCTGGAGTTCCTAGTGAAATTATAAACATAGTCCCCTCTGTGCCCCCATACATGGTAGGGAAATTTTAAATAGATAATAGGGAGGTGGGCAGATTACTGTCCACCCTCTGCCTTGGCCAGCATGTGGGGATATGTGATTACATATATGCAAGGCACACACTTATGTCCCACTGTCACTACCCATTGTCAGCGGGTGGAGGCTATTATAATATTCATGGGGAGAAACTAGTGTGTCCCTTAGCCAAAATAAAAATAAATATTCCTTCCTGGGGGCGGGGCCTGACTTCCAACATGGTTGGTTGTGCCTGCGTGTAGCTCCCGCAAAATACAGCTAGTTTTCTATTTAAAACTGTTTAAAATACTCTTACTTGTTCTTGGAGAGGACTAATGGCTAGCCTTTTGCCCTGTGATTATAGCCCTGTGTGTATTGCCCTTTGAGAACATTATGGGGGCATATTGAGATTACCGAACAGCCGGACCACACGCAAGTGGAGTATGCAGACAATTTACCTCCCAGGCTGGTGGTTAACCACAAGCTAATAGACAAATGGCTGGGTGGTCGCCGTTCGTATAGTCTAACACGTGTCGGCGGCCATCTTGTTTAGCTGAACGCGGTCAGTGGTGTTTTGCCGTCGAGTTCCTGGAACTAAAAATCAGATACACGATGGCACGAACACTGCTGAACTTTTACCTTTCCTGGAACGTTGATGCTTCGACGGTAGTCGAACGGTGTTCGACAATTCGAACGCCACATTTACATTGCCTATTTGCACAAACGGTCTCCGTTCGTGCATTTGAACAGTATTTGAACTATGGTGAATATACCAGCCGCACAGCCCAAATCTGTGGAACTGTTTTGGGCATGGAAATGTGCATGTGGTCCGTCAAATGAGACTTCCAGCTATCTCCCGGACCACTGGACCAATTTGTATGATTTTTGGATATGTTGGTTGTCTAATTCTGCTAGTTCAGAAAATGTAACTTTTATTGGAATTGCATGTATAATTTTGAAGTTATGAAATTTGTGTAAAAAGTATGTTTTTTGTTAATAATAATTGAGTTGATACAGCAATTAACTCAATTATCTCCCAAGCAGAGGGGAAGAATGTATAGTAATGAATGGGAGTGTTTAACTGTGTAACAGTAAATGATTGGTTGTTGAGTTTGTGTTTCCAGTGCCCAACAAGGTCCATGTGGGTGGTAACTTTGTGGGAAAATTTGTATATAAGAAGCAATGAAGCTTCAGTGCATTCTGTTCCTGTTTGACCCTCAACACATAGTCTTGTCTCGTGATTGGAGGGGAACTGCTATAATCACACTGGGGATTGCTATACTTTGTATACTCCCCTAAGCTCTAATCACTTAGCTCTTTTAAGATTTTTGCCTTGGGCGGCATTTTCCAGGGGGCGGCGAAAAAAAGCCACCCCCAAATGCCCAGGGCAAATTTCTTCTTAGCCATGCGGCTAACAGTCCAGGCAGGCGGGCGGCTAAGTAAAAATCTGTGCTGGTGGCGCTGGCGAGGGAGCACATTCCCCTGAGCTCTCTGATCAGTTCCCTTGCGCGCCGCAGAGTGTTGCCGGGAGCTGGGACCCCCAGGGAAAGGGAGAACCCACCCAGCATTCCCAAAGGTAAGGAGACTGGGGGGGTTGAATTTGAAAAAAAAGTTTTGTCATGCCTAGAGCAGCACAAAACCAGGATACACCACTGCCTGGAGGAGAGGTCTTTCCCACACAGTCCTGGAGGGCAGATGCTGATCCAAGGTGGAAGGAAGACGGTGAGACTCCAGTAAGTCTACGGCGGTTGTGGAGTCTGCGGTGGTTGTGGTGTCCGGTGCGGTGCTTGTGGTCCTCGTCATTACTGGACCTAAATCAAGATCGGGTGGCATAAGGGCTACATTACCCAACATTGCAGCCTGGCGAGGCTGAAGGCCCATAGGCAGAGAAAGCGCCGATCTCCTGATTGGGGGCACGAGCATCAAGGCAACTTTCCTAAAGCCCCTTAACCCACCCTTTGGATATCCCAGTCCCCACTGGGGGAACTCACCTCCTTGCAGTAAAGGTCTTGAAGACTGAAGATCTGGAGACCGTTTGGCGAATCTAAAATGACCGCAACACCGGAGCCTATGTCAGCTATTGCAATTTCTATGGCTAGTAAGTCAAGCAATCAGGACACTCTGACAGACAAGTCTTGAGATAAGTGATTCTTTGCTCAAAATTTGGCTGTCTGATTGGGTGTGGGCTGGGGGGATATTAAGGGGACATTGGGGGATCGCAGGTGGGGACGAAGGGAATATAGGGTTGTCCCTATTTTTTTTACACATATACCCACCTACTTGGTGGGGACAGGGGGTAGAAAGAAATCTGTCCACTCTCAATCACTTATTTAAAAGTCCCCCACCCAGTGCTCAAAGGGCATGGAAGTGACCATGTCCCCGGTGATTTTGCAGGTACCATCCCCATGGGATGGGGTCTTTCTAGTGACTAGGCAGCAATAGCTTTACAGTCACTAAGTTGAAATATTTAGTAGACATAGCCCAGTGGTGTATTTAGGTTTTGTGCTGCCCTAGGCAGGACAGTGCTCGGGCACCCCCCATAATTTTAATTTTCCCCACCCCTTCCTGTCAAGGCCGCACTTTGACTGACAGATGCTCACTCACTGATAGACGCACACTCACTGGCAGACGCACACACTCATTGACAGACACACACTCTCATATACACTGACAAACAATGACATACACACACTCACTGATTTGACACACTCATAGACAGACATACACTTACTCGGACACACACTCACTGACAGAATCCTATGCTGCAATAAAATTGTATATATATATCAATCAAGTCTTATGTATAGTAACATTTGCTGCTTGTTCTATTGCCATGTCCTTCAGCATCAGTTTTACTGTGAAAATTTCAATAAATACACTACTCAGTTCAATTGATTTAATAAATATAAACATCCAGGTGAAAAAAGCACATTAATTCAAATGGTTCAAGAACTGCCTGGTGCGGTTGCAATTTATATAAACATAGAATGTGACGGCAGATAAAAAACATACGGCCCATCTAGTCTGCCCAATTTTCTAAATACTTTAATTATCTTATATTAGGATAGCCTTATGCCTATACCAGGTCTAGTCAACCTTCAGCACTCCAGATATTGTGGACTACATCCCCCATAATGCTCTTACACCCATAATGCTGTCAAATCATCATGAAAGGTGTAGTCAAAAAAATCTGGAGTGCTAAAGGTTGCCTGTGCCTGGTGTATACCATGCATGCTTAAACTCCCTCACTGTATTAACATCTGCATTGACTACCCTCTCAGCAAAGTAATACTTCCTTATATTAATTTTTAAACCTTTTCCCCACTAATTTAAGACTATGTCCTCTTGTTGTGGTAGTTTTCCTTATTTTAAATATACTCTCTCCCTTTACTGTGTCGATTCACTTTATCTATTTAAATGTTTCTATCATCCCCCAGTCCCCCCACACCTCCCATGTCTCATCTTTCCACCAAGCTATACATGCATTAGTAAGATAATCTATAATGCATTAGTCCTATTTGTTCGGTTACATTTTGCATTACTTTATGAATAATGTTAAAAAAATAAACATTCCTGTTCTTTATATAAAACACATGCACTATAGAATAAGACATTCTGAAATGACACACCCGTGTTGTACACAAAGCAGTAAATCTAAGAGAAAAATAAAGACATACCTTGCAGAAAAACTTCCTTTCTGTTCACTGGCTACAGAGTTCAGGGAATACTATCCGTATGTGTTCTAACAATGTGTTGAACTGTACTGCGTTTCTCTGAGCAGCAGACCTACTTTTTATGTAATAAATCTCATAAAAAAAGGACAAAGTGCATTTAGCACTTACATAAAATGTGCATACAATGATCTCTCTTGCAGGAAATATGCTTTCTAAATAATTCTAAGCTTCTGTGTGTATGTCAAGAATGCATTGTGTAATTTGAGAATGCTCTTTCCTGTGCATGGAAAGTATAGATTTTATGAAAAATAGAGCCTCGTAGTGTGCTCTTCTGGAAATATGTGTTTGAATACTGCTTTTTTTGCAAGAATTCAAGGTTAATTCAAAGTGAATTTCAAATTTAAGGCCAGATTAGATGAACTGAAAGCATAACTGCCTTAGAGAATCTTTCCAGTTTTTCATTTTTTTTTTTTAATTTGACAATTTTAATTTTTTCAAGTATAGATGGGGTACAGAAATTAAGAGAGGTAAGGGTTCAAAGTAAATAATTTCACATTTGCATGTTACAGGTACAATAATGTGGTTAAGGTTTGTATCTTGGCTAAGGTTCAAAACTTTATACAGGTCACGTTTGGTTGTGGGTTAAACAGTGGTTGTAGCGTATATCTCATTAGCGCTATTTACTACCTTTTTGGTTGTGGCCTTTGCTCGTGGTGGCCTTGATTATTGGCAGTCAAAACCTGTTATGTCTGGACCCAGGGCTTCGCGTGCTAACTGTATCGTCGGTGGAAGTGCAAGATTGGGGTGGGGATAAGGGGGTGAGAGGGAGGGTGAAAAAAAGGGGGGGGGGTGGTGTGTGCCTATCGGGGTATGGTGGGGGGTGCAGCTGGGTTCATAGAGATGACATATTGTTCAGTTTGAAGTATGCGTATTTGGGTGTGTTCTTCCCCTCACCGTGGGGGTTTTCATTCCCGCCTGTGGTGTGTGCTTGTGTGTCACATCAATGGGGTTTGTTTTTGTCCCACAGGTCCCACGCTGTGGACCACTGGGAGCTTTTCTGCTGTGTCTTCCGTGCTAAAGTTTCATACAATTTGGTGTGCTCGACTGCCTCTATGCATTGTTTGATCGTTGGGGTTGTTGTTTGCTTCCACTGTCTGCTTATGACAGTGAGAGCCGCGATTATGATGTGGTATACCATATATTTGAGGTGTGTGTGTGGCTCCTGTGGGAGCAAGAGTAGTAGGAATGTTTCAGGTGTTGAGGGTAGTTTCACTCCCATGCATAGGGTTGTTAGGTTTGCAACTTGTGTCCAGTAATGTTGAAGCAATGGACAGTGCCACCATATGTGTATCAAGGTTCCTCTGTTTGTTTGGCATCTCCAGCATGTGTCGGAGGTGTCGGGGCTTGAGTCTTGTGCTTGAGTCTTGTGGGGACTAAATACCATCTGTAGAGTAGCTTGCATGAAAGTTATAGGTGATTTGTACAGAGTGTCAGTCGTTTGTGGGCTTGGTAGATGTCTTGCCATTGCTCATCCGTGAGTCCGATGTCCTGTTCCCATGCTGATTTAAAGGAGGGTGGTTGTTTTCGGCATTTGTATATGTTCAGAGGCGTATATCATGGATATGAGTTTCATTGCCGGCTTAGTCTTTGTGCATATCTGTATTATTTTAGTCCAATGTGGGGCTAGTGTTTGTGCTATTTGTTGTGCCGGTTGAGAGTTCGACCAAGATTGTATTTGCAGGTAGGAGAAGGTTGCTGTGGATGGCACCTGTTCTGAGGTCTGAGAATTTCTTGAGTTTGTTGTCCTGTAGCAGTTGTGACATGGTTGTTATGCCATGTCTTTGCCAGAGTTTGTGGTTAAAGTCGGGGATGAATAGTTGTAGTGCTCCCATCTTCTTTCGGTAGCTGTCCCATATTGAAAGGGTTAGTGTAGTAGTTGGCAGTAGTTCAGAGTTTTTTGGTCTGTGGGTTTTTGGTAGCCATGCCAGAATTGACAAGGCAAGTCCCTTTGCATGGTTCTTCTCTATTTCGGCCCACACCGTTGGGTTGCAGCTGTGCGACACTGTCAACAGTGGTGCTACTTGAGCTGCTCGGTAGTAGCCCCTCACTTCGGGTAGGCCCATCCCTCCTTGGGCCAGTTTTTCTATATTGACGTGCTACCACTGGCGTACATATAGGGGTCGCAGGGGTCACAGCTGCGACTGGGCCCATCACTCCAGGGGGCCTGGCTACCCTGCGGACCCCTGTGACCGGGTACCAGCCACCAGGGCTGCCGTTCAAGGGGTCCATCGGGTGGCCCATGGTGTTAGGGTCAACCGATGGAGAAGGATTTTCAGGGGGCCCGGTCAGCGTTGGGTGCTTTAACAGTGCGACCAGGCCCTGTGATAACATCACTGCTGGGAGGAAGTGACTGCCCTGGTCACTCCTCCCAGCAATCACACAGAGCCTGCGCGGGAGGAAGCAGAGGAGGAATTTAGAGTGGGAATGTCACCCACCTGCAACTAAAAAGTAAAAAACAGGAGGGTGACTAAAATAATTTGTATATGTGTGTGTTTGTTTGTATGTGTGTCTGTCTGTGTGTGTGTGTGTGTGTGTGTGTCTGTCAGTATGTATGTGTGTCTTGTGTGTATGTATGTGTGTATGTGAATGTCTGTCTGTATGTGTGTGTGTCTGTGTCTGTCTGTCTGATGTATGTATGTGTCTTTGTATGTATGTGTGCCTGTCTGTTTGTCTGTCTGTCTGTGTCTATGTGTGTGTGTCTCTATGTATGTATGTGTCTGTATTTGTGCGTGTCTGTCGGGGGGGGGAGTAAAGGAGAGGGGAGGGAGGGTGCCATGGATCAGTTTCACACCGTGGCCCCATGGGTACACATAGGCAGGCAACCTTTGGCATTCCAAATGTTGTGGACAACTTACATCTCCCCTGATGGTTTTTCCAAAAAAGTAGTTTAACTAGTAAAATCTCTAGGAAATTTAAACTAGCAATTTTCTAGAAATGGTAGAAACAATCTAAAACTTAACTTTTATCAAGCATAAATATTAAAATGAGTCTAAAGATAGATAATAAGAAAATATGAATTCCATTTAATTAGCATGAACATTTGGTTAACCTAGCGTATTTATCCACTTTAAGATGTAATAAAGATATATTGTTGCAAATGGCAGGTTGTCTCTGAAGGTCTTAGTAGCAAAGATTACAATACAATGTTTGTATAACTTAAAGCGGCACTCATGAATTAATCCAGTTTTATTTTAACCCCCCTCCCGACTCCACTACATCTAACCGACCCCTTAGTCACCCCCAAATGCCCCTAAGCACCCCATATTACATATTTTTTATCTTTATTTTCTGCCCTGATCTATATTCAGGGCGCTGCCATCTTTGTGTAGGTAGAGGAAGTCCCTGTGGGACACGTCATCTGCCCACACTAGATAGCACTGTGAGATTCCCGCACATGCCCAGTGAAACACTTGGGCATGCGAACGGGAATTTCATCTATTCATTCGTCAGAAAGCCGAATGAATGACTAGAAATTTCAGACGAACAAACAAACACTGAATATCAGCGTTTGTTTGTTCGTTCAGTTTATTACAAGGAGGGAGCTACCAGCACACAGCTCCCTCCTTGTAATATGTAAAGATAGAAGCACCAGGGAGCAGTGCTCCCCAACACTTCCAAAGCCCCCCAAGTCCTCCCTCACTCTATGGGGGTCAATATGAGCCCACTGGAGGTTCTCCGATCTGACTATGAGGAGCTGGGATTCTTGGAACTTCAGTCCTGAGGTACAAATACCTTGCAGCCCTCAATCGCCTTTTCAATGGATTCAAATCTTTCCCAAACAGTACCTCCCCTTCCCGTAGAATGGTATAGAGGGCAGACTTGGAGGATGAGTGATCATCCCAGAAACAGAACCATAATGCTTTCCTAGCTGCTATAGATGCTATAGATAAAGCCATTTGATCAAGAGAATATCCTAGTTACATCTAGGGAAGCTTCTGTGAAGAAGTCAATTGTAACCTGAAGACTTCAGACTGCATCTTCAATCTTGGCTCTTAATATCTCTCTCCATAGTAGCCTTTGGATCTTTAATCACGTTTTTCATGGTTGTAGTGTGATGGGATTCCAGCATGGTCAAAATTTAGTAGGCCAAAATCTCCATGTGCCATATGTGTATGTTGTGTCAGTTGGTTAGCTACATGTAGCTAGGATACTGTCATCAGTGTACTGAGCATGTGCAGGAATGCAGGACCTGAAATTGCACTTATTTCCTTTGTCTTGGATGAGCCATGTGGTTTGACTAGATGTACAAGTCTATATTCTGCTCATTGATTGGTTAAAGGTATATGTGGGTGTAGCTATTAATGGGAGGAGTTATAGTGCTATATAAGGAATGTACACTATGTGTTGGTCTCTCAGAATGTTGGAACAGGAGTTCATCTGAGACCCGATCGGTAATGTGAATAAAGGCCTCTTACTTCCTGAAGACCTGTGTCCAATATCTTTGTGTTTGGCTTCTGCATGCTTACACTGCAACATCTCTGGTGCATTGGCAGTGGGAACCTCATTGCACGGAAGCTAGCGCAGAGATTTGAGACGGTAAACTTTTACCACACCTTCTACGCTACAATCCTGGACTTCTACTGCGTGGACCTCCTTTCGTCTCGGCGCCACTGGCCTTTTGTCCAGGAGATCATCGGCTTCTGCGCAGTGAGTCCCGGATTGTTCCGTCTATGAGTGAACCCAGGTCCAGAAACTAACAGGTAAGATTGATACCGTTAGAGCGGTAGACCCACAATGGGTTTTATATTTGGAATCGGTTATTGGTATTGGCCCCTTCATTGGAAGGAAGAAGCGAAAGCGCAACGCTTATCTGGACATTAGACGCTCTGTAGTCAGCCCGTCTAATATAGGTGGTATTGTCAGACTGAGTTCTGGTGTAAATAGCTCATGTCGGACACCGGTGTCCTGTCTTGACTAGCGTATCTAGGGTGTAAATTTTGTTCGCTAGGTCGGGGGGACCGGGAGACTAGCATACTCTGTTGTATATTATAGTTTGCTAGATTTCACCCTATCTTAACTAAGTGTGCTCTGTTGTAAATCCAGCCACTAGCTTATTGATAGTTTAATAGACTAGCTGGGTACTGTGTAAATTCTGCCCTCTAGTTCGCTATACGTGGTGTCTGGGCAGCGAAGAACTTATCGAATCTCTGGTGTATAAATAGATCGAAAGCTCTCGAGGTGCTGGCCAGTTAGAATAGTTGGGATTATTGTAAATGTTGTTAA